GAGTGCGGGAGAGAGTATGAGCGTGCAGCGTTTAAAGCGTGGAAGTACTGACCTTACTTTAAGTTTGATTCCTTAAAAAGTGACAAAAACATTAGCGTCAGTTGTGCGTGGGAAGAAAACTTTTTTTACAGCAAAAAAACCCCCCTAAACTTCCAAGCAAGCACCGAGTGCGCTGCAACGTAATGGGAAAATTCACAGAGAAACTCGCGGATTTTTCAACTGACAGCTGCGGCTCACCTGCACCAGGATAAACCTCCACCTACCCTACTCCTGCTTTACAGGTGAAGATAGAGCAAAAGGACCGCTAGTCTTTAACTTTATTTATTTTCTGCGGTGTTTTACTTACATCTATTTGAAAGAGTGAGTGTAAACACACACAAAAAATTCTTTTATGTGCTGGCATGTGCAGAAAATAGGTTTAAATATTAACAAATTTCTTCCAGTCAGAGAATGTTGCATATAATAAAATGTTTGCTTGATGCATAAAGTTAAAAGATTAAAACTAATAAAACAAGTTTTAAAAAGGGACTTTTCCATTTGATTACATTTTGTATGATGGATTATGTAGAAAAAGGAGAATTGGGCTGAAAGATCTATTGCTTTATCTCCTATTCAGGTTGTAAATCATGTTTTTAAAAAGTAACTAAGTAACCAAGTAATTAATTACTTTTGAAAATAAGTAATCACTAAAGTAACGGGATTACTTTTTTGGGGAAGTAATCAGTAATTAGTTACTGATTACTTTTTTCAAGTAACTTGACCAACACTGGTTGTTGTTAGTTGTAAAGAAACGTGGGCCAAGAAAAAACTTCATACAGGATCTGATTGCACAACAGTCACCATTTATGGACGAACAGAAAATAGCAGAAGCAACTAAAAAGCAAAAGCTGAAGTTGGAAAGATTCCAAATTTTGGGAATTGTAACATTGTTTAATGTCATTGAGAGTTATTTTTTTTGGAAAGCATGTTTTTTCCACAGTCATTCAATCTTGTCCTGAAAGAAAAAAAAAAAATTTCCTCATGTTTTTTGCTGTAGCTATACGCGGTCCTCATCACAACCTGGTCTCTGTTCTCGTTTCCTCTGCAAAGGATTTCCCACAGACAGTGATGGCTTTAAACTCCGCTGAGATCTCCAGCAAGGTCTTGCCTTTAGTCTCAGGCAAAAGGAAGAAGGTATAAAGACTACCCAGCATGCAGGCAGAGGCAAACAGCAAAAATAAGTATGAGCTGAGAGCATCCTGGGAAAGAAACGACATTCATGATTTCAGCATAACATATAGATCCCTGTGGGTGTTATAGTGTAATGCGCTGCTTATTTTCAGTTTGGTCGTACGTACAATGAGAAATGGAAAGACCAGGCCCATCACTGCAAACATAAACCACTGCAGCAGCCCTGTGAGGACGAGTGATGCCATTCGATTAGACTGAATGAAGAGCTCACTGTTGAGCGTTGGTGTGGCTCCTCCTGTGAGAATCAGAGAAAGAACAGGGAATTGACCTTGTTATCTTTGCATATAGACACGTTTTCCATAACCGCTACAGGTGTGATGTACTGGATACTAAAAACGTTAAGCTACATATGTATAAGTGCTTTACCCTTACCAGGTCCTCCACAAAAGAACATGATGAAGACAACCATCAAACTCACAGTAATGTATGGAACCCAGTAGCTGGAATCCTGTGTGAAAGACAGTTTTAAATGCATATATTTGATTTTGCATCAGATTAATTTCTATATTTCTGCCTTTTATC